TATATATATATATATATATTTATTAAATGTCTCATCAAGGCACTCTTGAACCCTATATAGAGTGATACAAGGAGGGATTCATTCATTCACAGCATTTTTCCCTAAATCTTTCTCTCTTTCTGTGATAATATATATCTCTCATGAAAATGGAGTTCTCCATGAGGTTTCTTGCAGTGATGTCCCTCTTGCTGTTGGTTTCCATGTCCACTGGTTTGAACCTTTTTGAACTCCATCCTCGGCTATTTTAGTTGTGTCTGAAGCAAAATTTCCATGTCTGAAGCAAAATTTCCATGCATGCATATGTTTGGTGACCATGCATGTATTTTTTTGTCTAATCTGAGTTTATCATTTAGCTGGGAGTTTCACTCTTATTGTTGAGAAAAATAGACCATACACCATTAAACTCAACAATATTAAGAAACATAAAGAAATCACAATATTGTCCTATCCAATCTATTAAAGAAATGTTAATTATGTTTGTGTGTATTTTTATCTTCTTTCATGTATTAATTAAGCAGACATGGGAGGTCCTCTAATGGCGGATGCCAGCTGGGACTTGGAACTTTGTGATGAAGGGTGCAAGCTTCTGGGTTACAAACGAGGATGTTGTGGAATTACACAAGACTGCATGTGGTGTTTTTGCTCCGATGAAGACTCGTGCCCAAGTAAGACACACCTCTCAATTAACTTATGCACCGACAAAATCTGTAGTTAATTTACTCACAGTATACGCGTAACATTTTTATTGATTAATATAAGTGTCTTAAGGTAAGATTTTTTTTTTATCTTTCGCGATATTTAGGTAAGGGTTACAAAATAATTAATATTTTGTAAATAAAAGGGTAGTGTTTAATTATTTTATTTTATTTTTTTCAGTCACCGAAATGGAAATAAAAATTGGCGAGAAGACTATGATGATTGCGGCAACACCCAAAAAGTCTTTCATCAAGGAGTCAGTCGCTTGATTCTACATGAATATGTATTCAAAATGAATAATCCGTCCAGAAATTGCGTGTCATTGAAAATAAATTGTAGATCTCATCACGGAGACTATGCTGTGAAAGCCAAGCATGCATGTTTGACATGTACTATGTTTTATGTGTTCAACTAATTTGAACGAACATCATGTTAAATAGTTAATACTGTTTTTATTTTCATCTCTGGATTACAATTTTGATTTTAACAAATTAATAAATATAATACTGGTCACCCTTAGCTTGACTTAGTTTGTGTGATTGTTTCGAATCCTGGGGTCAGAAAGCCCAACACAGATCAAAAAGCTTTTCCCTAAAAGGGAGTTTTATCTCAAAAGAACATATCCAGAAACCGGAAAAAAACTGTGATACCCGTTTATTGGGATTTTACTGGAAAAATGTCTGATAGTAAACTCAAATCAAATCAACGCCACAAATTTTAGTCCCACACCCACAAGGATCTCATAAAATTTAAAACTAACCCATGAAGTATCGACCTGCACAAATTTTGAAAAATTTTGAACAAAACTATACAAGACAGCCAATATTTTAGGCCTAAATTTTGATCATTTTACACTGGGTCAAAGACCTGGCCAGAATCAAAGAAAAGATTAAAACCAATAAAGGGAGAAGAAGAAGGACTACGAATGAGGTCAGGGAGTAATAGCCATGCTTTGATGGAAAGGGGAATTACTCCATTTGATAGCAGAAAATGAGGGCTATATTGGTCCAATAAAGTGTTGCTAAGGCCTTGGATGATCCTTAATGTTGAGGATAATTTGCCTCAATCTAAGGCATAATATATGTAATAGAATTGACTCCATCATTCTAGCCTAATTCCGTGATATTCTTCTATTATTTCCGTTATAATTTGTATGTAATTACTCTAGATTGATTTGTAAGGCTTCTTGTATATCAATATTAATTGACTCACTCACCATCACTAAAAGCTATTAGGTGATTTATTCTTCAAAGAGTCTTATGGTATCAGAGCCCCTCTTGGATTAAAATCCATAAACCATTCAATCTCACTCATGGCAGCCGAATCCACTCTCTTCTCTTTCAACACCATGATTCACATGGTAACAATTAAACTCTCCTCCTCGAACTACCTCCTATGGAAAAGCCAGCTTCTTCCCCTTCTTGAGAGTCAAGAACTACTTGGTTATGTAGATGGATCACTAGAGCCTCCACCACGGTTTGACCCACCCACCTCTCAAACACCAAACAACAAACCCCTGGCGTGGAAAAATACTGATCACAGGCTTCTCAGCCTTCTTCTCTCCTCTTTAACTGAAGAGGCCATGGTTGAAGTCGTCGGCCTCTCCACCTCACACGAAGTCTAGCTTGCCTTGGAAAACACCTTCAATCATCGCTCCCAAGCTCGCAAGATTCATCTCAAAGATGATCTCCAATTGATGAAGCGTGGAACACGCTCTGTCTTTGAATATGCTCGTGCCTTTAAGGCACTTTGTGACCAGCTACATGCCATTGGACTGCCAGTTGATGCCACAGACAAAGCACATTGGTTTCTTCAAGGTCTTGGCGTTGATTTCTCATCATTCTCGATTGTACAAATGGCAGTCACTCCTCTCCCCTGCTTCGCTAACCTTGTCTCCAAAGCTAAAAGCTTTGAATTGTTCCAGAAATCTCTTGACTCTCCAAGCCCACCCACAGCGGCTTTCACTGCCACGAATTGCAGCTTTAATCGTGTGAGTTACTACGGCCAACCCTCACGCACCAATCATGGACGCAACAGCGATCAGGGCTTCTCCAATCATGGCAGTGGATGGAGCTTCTCCAACCAGAGACGTCGCCCCCCCTCCACGATGTCAAATTTTTCGGACCGAAGGACACTATGTAGATCGTTGTGACCAGAGGTACACTCGACAAGACAAATCTGCTCATAAATCTGCTCCTTTTAATAAATCGTGCTCAATGTCTGAATATGAGGCCTTAGACTGGTACTTAGACACTAGGGCTTCAGCCCACATGACTACCAATCCATCCATTCTGGATCACTCAAATAATTACACCGGTAAGGATTGTGTAATTGTAGGATTCCCTACCTATAACTCACACTGCTACCATCTCTCCCAACCAAAATCTTCATTTACTTGATGTTTTAGTCGTTCCTTGTTTAACTAAAAATCTTTTGTCCATTAGTAAATTAACTTCTGATTTTCCTCTATCCGTCACTTTTACTAATAACTCTTTCACTGTTCAGAATCATCAAACGGGAAGGGTGGTGGCAACCGGTAAACGAGATGGTGTATTATATGTGCTGGAGCATGGATATCCCACTTTTATTTCCGTTCTTAATAAAAAGTCATTACATGCCTCATATGATTTATGGCATGCTTGCCTTGGACATGTAAACCATTCCATTATCTCTCTTTCAAAAAAACAAGGTCATCTTTATCTTACATCTCTATTGCCTTCTCCAACGCTTTGTAATGCATGTCAAATTGCAAAAAAATCATTGTTTACCTTATTCACGTAATGACAAACGATCATCTCATGTGTTAGATTTAATTCATTGTGACATATGGGGCCCTTCTCCCATTAAATCCACTTCAGGGTTTGTCTACTATGTTGTCTTTATTGATGACTTTTCTCGCTTCACTTGGCTATACTCTTTGCTTTTAAAATCTGACTTTTACAATATTTTCCTTCAATTTCAAAAATTTGTGGAAAATCAATATTCTGCATGAATAAATTTTTTTCAAAGTGATGGCGGTGGAGGATTCACTAGCAATCATTTCCAAGCACATCTTCGCACCTCTGGCATCCATCACGAACTATCTTGCGCATACACACCCACTCAAAATGGTCGCACCGAAAGGAAACATCGTCGTGTGACTGAGATTGGCCTGGATCTTCTTTTTCACTCTCATCTTTCTCTTTGTTTCTAGGTTGACGCCTTCAGCACTGCAATCTTCATCATCAATCGTTTGCCCACACCACTTTGTGGAAGTAAGTCTCCTTTTGAGCTTTTGCATGGTTCCTCTCCGAATTATAAAAATTCTCATCCTTTTGGCTGTCGTGTTTATCTTTGTTTACATGATTTTATGCCTATAAAAATTTCTCCTCGCAGCATCCCGTGCATTTTTTTGGGATATAGTCCCTCTTATAAAGAATTTTATTGCCTAGATCCTACCACCTCTAGACTATACATCACTCGACATGCACAATTTGATGAACAACACTTTCCCTCTTTAGAAATCTCTCATGTTCAACCTCTCTCATCTCTCCATTTTTCCAATTTTCTTGAGCCTGTCTCATCCCATACAAAACCATCTCCCCTTGAGCACCATCCTCCTTCTGTTACTCTATCCTGATCTAACCCGTATGTTATTTGTACTGACCCAGTGGATAAGTCTATGCAGGTTGCTGACTCTAATGCAGGTTCTACTTTGGTCCACTCGGCCCCCAGACAATCCCTTGTTGAGTCAGACATCGCTCTTCAAGTCCATTATCTCACTCCAGCTCCAGCTCCGGCACCTCCATTAGGCTCTCACCCTATGATCACACGAGCCAAGGCTGGTATTTTCAAAACTCGCCATCCGGCTAATATTGGCACTTTAGGTTATTCCGGTCTTCTTTGTGCTCTTCTTATCTCTATTGAGCCTAAAGGTTTCAAATCTACTGAAAAGAATCCTGTGTGGCTTGCTGCCATGGATGAAGAAACGCAAGCCTTGCAAAACAACCGTACCTGGATTTTGGTCCCTAGGCCTACTAACACCAATATTGTGGGCTCCAAATGGGTATTTAGGACCAAATTTTTGTCAAACAACCTCAAAATATGGACATCTAGTACATTCGAATGACTAAAATGCCATTTTTTTGAAATGCTCGCTAGATTGTTTAAACAACATTGATGAGGAAGACTGAAATCTATAGGCTAGAGACTCTGTCAACTTTGACCAATTCGATTAAAAAAAAGTGCAAACGTGTTAGTTATTTAGTTAGAAATGTGTAAGTGTTAAAAAAGGAAGCCAATGACCTAAG